GTGAATCAGATATGGGTGTCACATGTACTATGATGATGTAGTAACAAACACAAAAGTGATCCGATATGGGTGTCACAAACACAGATGTGAATCAGATATGGGTGTCATAAACACAGAGGTGAATCAGATATGGGTGTCACAAACACAGAGGTGAATCAGATATGGGTGTCATAAACACAGAAGTGAATCAGATATGGGTGTCACATGTAGTAACAAACACAGAAGTGAATCAGATATGGGTGTCACATGTAGTAACAAACACAGAAGTGAATCAGATATGGGTGTCATAAACACAGAGGTGAATCAGATATGGGTGTCACAAACACAGAGGTGAATCAGATATGGGTGTCACATGTAGTAACAAACACAGAAGTGAATCAGATATGGGTGTCACATGTACTATGATGATGTAGTAACAAACACAGGTGAATCAGATATGGGTGTCACATGTAGTAACAAATGCAGAAGTGAATCAGATATGGGTTTCACATATAGTAACAAACAGGTGAGAATGAGGTACAGGTGTCACATATAGTAACAAACAGGTGATAATTAGGTACAGGTGCCACATGTAGTAGCAAACAGTTTTGTGAAATGTGGTTCAAAACTTTTGTCAGGGATACCAGGAGAAGGACATTTTCCTAGGGGACCATCATGTTAAGAATCTGTAGCTATATGACCTGATGCAAGCCCTGATAAAAGTGTGAATTGTGTGTGTACCTGTTGAATCTGGAATTGACGGATCATCTCCACCTGTAGATTCTGCATTTCTCTGTGCATCTGGTCATAAAAGTCCTCAAGCTCCTCGCGTATTAGATTTCGTAGCACCTGTGTCTGAAAGTTTCCAGATGGTATCGCCTGTGGCGCCATTTCCAACTTTTGACCTTCTTGCGAACTTTGACCTCCATATACCTGATCTTGTGAACTATAACTCCCACGTAAAATGTCCTTTGAACTCTGATCCCTGTGTGCTTGATCATGTGAACTCTGACTCCTGTGTGCCAGATTATACGAACTCTTACCCCTGTTTGACAGGTTCTGTGAGGTTGTATCTATTGATGAAGTGTACACACTAGTCACAGCATTCACGCCCTCTGGTGAGGGAAATTGTTTTGCTCCAGAGTTATCTGCCCCTGCACAACTTCCTGGAGAGTCATCAAGGTTTAACACAGGAATGCTTGGTGAGGCACTTATTCCAGTAGGGCGAGAGGGACTGACCCTGGGGGGAACCTCTGCCCCTACATGTGAGGGGGTTGGGTGGGAAGGGCTCGTACTAGACCTGTACACACCAGTTTGACCTTGGTAAACTGGCCCCTGACCTTGGATATCTGACCTAGAGATACCATTCTGTAAATATGGACTCCCTCCATTTGACAACATGGCACTGTCTGTAGGATAAATAAGAAATTTAGTTTAGAATAATCATCATTTTTTTGTTGCTTCTTCCAGGTAAGCAACATCTTCAAAACAGGTTAATCATTATTATTTTAGAAAATTAAAAGCAGTAGTCAATAGGAAATTATTGGCTCTATTTCAAAAAATTATACTAAATATACATGTTATTAATATAAACAAAGAAAACAATGCAAACAAGCTGGATAGGTAAGTAATATTTATTTCACATGTATACGTGTGTCATTAGTTAATGGATGATGAATCATTATCTTAAGTAACAATCACGCAAGTTTCTAATGAGTTATAACGTAAATGTGCCCCCATACACCTAACTGACCCTCTATGTTCTAAATATGATCCTCCTAACTGACCCTGTGTTCTAAATATGATCCTCCTAACTGACCCTCTGTGTTCTAAATATGATCCTCCTAACTGACCCTCTGTGTTCTAAATATGATCCTCCTAACTGACCCCGTGTTCTAAATATGATCCTCCTAACTGACCCTGTGTTCTAAATATGATCCTCCTAACTGACCCTCTGTGTTCTAAATATGATCCTCCTAACTGACCCTCTGTGTTCTAAATAGGATCCTTAACTGTCCTATAATTCATAATTAGTCAAATGATATTGTGATAATATATTTTGATATTTTGATGATATGATTTGTACAAGCCTAAATGTTATCTACTAGCTACATTACAAGACTTGTGTCAGTGTGGCACTATGATCGTTTCTGTTATCTACTAGCTATAGCCCCGGATTACAAGACTTGTGTCAGTGTGGCACTATACCTGTTTCTGTTATCTACTAGCCATAGCCCCGAATTACGAGACTTGTGTCAGTGTGGCACTATACCTGTTTGTTATCTACTAGCTATAGCCCCAAATTACAAGACTTGTGTCAGTGTGGCACTATGCCTGTTTCTGTTATCTACTAGCCATAGCCCCGAATTACAAGACTTGTGTCAGTGTGGCACTATACCTGTTTCTGTTATCTACTAGCTACAGTCCCGGATTACAAGACTTGTGTCAGTGTGGCACTATGCCTGTTTCTGTTATCTACTAGCTACAGTCCCGGATTACAAGACTTGTGTCAGTGTGGCACTATGCCTGTTTCTGTTATCTACTAGCTACAGTCCCGGATTACAAGACTTGTGTCAGTGTGGCACTATGCCTGTTTCTGTTATCTACTAGCTACAGCCCCGGATTACAAGACTTGTGTCAGTGTGGCACTATGCCTATTGGTACATACCCTGAATGTTGTGTGGATCAACATGGTTGGCACTGGATGATGTACCCATTCCAGGGGGCGAGGAAAACTTACTGTTGCTATAGTAACCATCCTGTTGTGTCCTTGACCCATTAACAGTCTGCTGACAAAATCAATTGTTAGAGTATCAAGTTAACAGGTAAGAAGGGAAGGAAAGACGACTGTGATAAGATTCTGTTTACGATTTTAATTTACTGTTGTGATTTTGATATCAGGGTTTCTAATGATGTTCCTCATTGACAAGGTTATCTATTTATATGTGTATATTGGTGAAATGTTTCAATGGCAAACCTGAAAGCTTTTCAAATATTCCTTTGAGCATTGATTGAAGTTATGAAACTATTATATTCATTGAAACATTTCTGTATACAACTTCATTTAGATATCTGTACTCAGTCTCAAGAGGAGGTGAGGCATGATTGAACCTTTGACTCAATTTGAAGAAAATAAAATGTGTTAATGCAGGTAAGAGAAAGACATCCAGGATGGGGTGTGACTTTGATTACCAACGAGTGCTGATAATTGGATTACATCGAGACATTTATTTATATCACTGTAATGTTGAAGGATATCATTAAAGTGGCTTGTGTTGGGATTTGGAATGTGACATCAAAGGTTGACTTTGTAAGCTTGTCCTTCTTATACTTTAGGATCCCTGTCTCAATGTAGACAAAACACTACAGAATTTCACTGTAGTTTATTTTTACATAACTAGGCCATTTTGATGAGGGCATTTCCATTACTGACATCATAACAACATGAGGTCCAGGGTTCAATCCTGGTCTAGCCTTGCTGATTTTTTTATCACTCAGAACACTGTCATTGATTATATTTTGTCTATTTCATCTTCATAACTTTTCAGCAAGGTATGACATTCTTTCAAGGAATCATTTACTATAATCAAACCAGAAAGAACAGTTTCCAATACATAGTTACAAATTTTGGCAGTGGTATAAGGATCAAATTAAATGAATTTTTTATTTACTTCTACCAACTTTCTTAATTTACCAGGAATCCAATGTGATAAATCAAACAAACAAAGTAGCATTTTACACTGACGATCCACAGAAATGCATAGAAAACAGAGAATTATTACGATCTAGGAAAGGAAAACATTATTACTTTAACACCAGTGACACAACCTACCAGACCATATGTATTGAAGTTGGAAGCAGGCGTGTTCCAGGAAGGAGTGTTACTGTTACTGTGATTTGTAAACAGCGGAGACATGCCAATGTTTTCCCGGTTGCTGAAGGTTCCTGCGTCAGCGAGAGGGGAAAATACACCACCTGTGTAGAAATATAATGAAAAGCATATTAAATATCACATCAAAATAAATGTTGAATTTGTTTACGTAAACAACAAGCCATTCGGATTGATATGCATCGCCTCTGCCCAGCTTTGACCATCAATGCACATGTCAAGTTTGGTTTGTCTAGCACTTATTGTTTCAGAGAAAGTAACTAAAACGCAAAAACTAAATGCTGATGGAGATGCTGACAAAGTCAATGACCATGAAAGGAAGACCGCATCCAGCATTTGATGCATGTGTTGAGATGTACTACCTAAGATGCATCTATGGTCCAAATTTGGTTGGTCTAGAACTTACAGTTTCAGAGAAACTAACTTAAACGCAAAAACTTAATGTTGACACCGCCGCCTGAAAAACAACACCTTAGTCTCACTTCCGCTACATTTTTTGGGTCGAGACAAAAATTACTGGAATGAAGTTGTTTTCAAAAGAATTTATATAACAAGATTGGTAAAACAATGCTGGTTTGCATGATACACAGGGTCGGACAAAATCATAGTATAGACAGGGATCCAGTTTACACAGGTAATACTATCTAGGACAAATGCCTACACAAACCGATAGGTGCATAAATGATATTCTGTCCATGCGAAATATGCCAGTCCAACAGACATGTCTGGTAAAAATTATGCAATCACTATTGTAATTCCGGACCAAATGTCCAGCATACTTTTCCTACTTTAGAGTCGTCTTGAGTTATGTCACGTAAGTGTTTTACATGTCTCCGTATTATTCAGTGCAGTCAAGCGCTGCGGTAACCTGTTATGACATTGATGGAGTGAAGAAGAATACTTCGTTACGTAACAGGGGCAAAACCCGGCAAACCACTGCCAAAACCAAATCCAGTTAATGTTTTCATTTAATTGTTGTAAACATCAAACAATTTTAGTAAGTAACTAGTAAGTATTTCAAGCTAACCTGACCAAAATGTCCTGTAAAAGTTGTTACGGTAAGCTTGACATAGTTACCTGACTGAATGTCTGGTAAGAACATTTGTATTTCGCATGGACTGGATATTCCAGATATCTATCTGGAACTGTATTTTCTACTGCGACCACTGAACATCTGATTTGTGCTGTAACCATGGTGACTTCACCAAATCGGGAGGTACTTACTTGACGACTGATTTTCCTGTTGAAGGAATGACCCCAGATTTGAGCCAGAGTTTGACATCTGTTCCGTCTCCCGGTCACTGTATCCTGTTAATGAGGGTAAGTATACCACAATGTATCATTGATTTTGTTTATAATTTTGTAATTTTTAGAAGATTCAATTGTTATACAGAGAATCCCTCCAATCATATGTTATACACAAATACTAGAATGTAAGTGTGTATACACAAATACTAGAATGTAAGTGTGTATACACAAATACTAGAATGTAAGTGTGTATACACAAATACTAGAATGTAAGTGTGTATACACAAATACTAGAATGTAAGTGTGTATACACAAATACTAGAATGTAAGTGTGTATACACAAATACTAGAATGTAAGTGTGTATACACAAATACTAGAATGTAAGTGTGTATACACAAATACTAGAATGTAAGTGTGTATACACAAATACTAGAATGTAAGTGTGTATACACAAATACTAGAATGTAAGTATAACTAACTGGGTTGTAAAAATTATACTTATAAATGGATTTTTTGCTTCTCTTTTTAGCCTAGACCTGTAGAGTAGCAGTCACCACAGGGGTCGCATTGTAGTAATGCCCTAATCAACAAGGGTCATATTTTCCAAACTTCAGAATTACACTTATTTTATATTTTCTTTGTATAATCCTTGGATAAACCTATCAACTAAAAATGGTGTTATAATCCAACAACAGCAAGAACTATTAGATGTAAATATTTTCCAATCGGAAACTCCTGAGGTATTTCCATCAAAATTGTACGTGTGAGTAATGGACAACCAATCAGAATATGACATCAAATTCAAATTATGATTGAAAGCACATTTTAACCAGAAATGTCTGTTTAAAATGCATTCTAAACGAAACAGGACTTCAAAGGACGATAAAATGGTACTGTCTTCGCTGTTTTGAACGTAAACATAAGGATTAAAATGCACCTTTTCAACATTATGATGGTATTAAAACGTTTCATTCAAAAATGTTCTTATGAATGTTAAAAAGACAGATTTCAATACTTAGGAACACGGGAATGAATGAGAGGTCACCAGCATGTGAACAAGTTTGTGATTCAAATCATATTGGGATATATATGTCGTTGTATTTGTTTTGTTGTTTAATTATTTACAAAGTGTTCAGTTTGTGATACTGACCATGGGTGTCCTTGACAGGAGAAAAGGTGTCATTGTCGGGAACGCCACTGTCAGCCCTCCTAGGACCATAGTCTGTAGCCTCGACTGTCAGCAAAGAAATGTTTAGTCAATATTATAAACAATCTGTACACAATTGATTGTATTCTGATTAAAAATATGAAAATTAAAACAAGTCCATGACCAATACATTTATCTACACATCAAATTTTATTTGCAATTACTTTAAAAAAAACAATGAATGAAAAAAGCATTTTTTATCGTAACTTTGTTTTGGACTAGTTCATTCATCTACATAGATATATCATCATTGTTTTTTTGAAACTTATAGTCAATACCAAATATTTCAATGGAACAAATATGATCAGTCATTAGTCTAATATCAGCCAATCTATTTGATGTGATGATCAATCAAGATATTTAAGTCATTGAGCAGGATATCAGCTGGGCATTGGATGTGGTTGTAGTTACTTGTATATATAGATAAAGAGAGGTTCATTAAGGGCTAAATATAGACATGTTCGTTATATATTAATTACAAACGCTAAATTCCACTTGAAGACATTAAACAGTATGGTAGCAGATAAATAAATGGTTTGGTTTAAAAAAAAATCTTTAACAAATTTCCCTATTTAACTCCAGGATTTATGAATTTCATGCAATACAAGAGGCCCATGGGCCTAACAGTCACCTGAGTCCTACAGTATTTATTTTTGTTGTTGAAATATGTACCAATTTGAGTAAAAAATTGTTAAGTATAACGTTAACTTAAGTTTGTCAGGACTGTGAGCTGATCTTTCCTAGACCGATTTTCAGTTAGATCGGCCTATTAGAACTTGTTTTTAAGTTTGAAATAGGTATTTTCAAAATAGCGGCCATGGCAGCCAAATTCTATTTCTGATCGACCCGAAAAATAACAAAACTTTGTCAGGACCATGAGTCGATCATTCCTACAAAGTTTCAGTTCAATCGGCCTAGCAGAACTTGACTTTAAGTTTGAAATAGTTTTTCAAAATGGCGGCCGTGGCGGCCATATTGGATTTCTGATCGACCTGAAAAATAACAACACTTTGTCAGGACTATGAGNCGGACGACGGACAGCAATAGGTCACTTGAGCTAAAGCTCAGGTGACCTAATAAAACTAGTTTTAAATGCAGTTATGACAACGACGAAACAAGTCCCACTTGTATAATATCAGACAGGTATATATTACATAATTCAGATATGAATGAATCGGTGGAATCAATGGTGAGGATGAGAGTTTGTACCTGTGATGTTTGATGACTCAGCTGGAGCCTGAGGAAGCTGCCGTCTGTTTGGTGGAGACACATCCTTACTGCTAGCAATCTTTGCTGCACTTTTACTGAGGGCCTCGGTCTGGAGACAAAATATGTACATTCATGTTCTGTAAAATCATCTCCTAATTTAAAGATGTACTCTTCTGAGAAGATGAAAAATTCCCATATCAAACTCCCTTTTTCTTATATGCATTTCAGGAAAAAGGAGTTAAAGGCATAGTAGAAAATCCAAAAGAAATTGCATGATTGATCAAAGCTACCAATTTAACATATAACGGTGAATCTCCGATCAGTTCAAACAAATTTAAATAAATATTGTTTAACCTGTTCGAATTATATGAAATTGTAGACGCCAAAATAAGCGTGAGTTCGCATTATCAGAGTGAGTTCGAACAATTTGGGATTAAATCATGAAATGTGGATGGACCCCAGGATTTAAGGCTGTTTTCTAGCGAGCGTTAGGAAATACTTTATAGGCCTGCATCTCCACGTTTTACCCCTGTGAAATATTACATTTAGAATATGCCTAGAGACAAACCGCTGCATCAACGAACAGGCCAAGTGTGAAATGTAAACACGCTTCTTAACGGACTTGCTATGCGTAGTATAGAATAACAACGACCTGTCATTCACTTATCTTCCGATGCCTCTAAATGATGACTTTATATTTAATTCGTATAAATCATTTACTTACATGTCAATCGATTATTAAATATGTTGCAGGTTCATTTTTACTCTGTATAATGTACAAAGCCGCGGCTATTATGTAGGCCCCGAAACAGTACATGTGCATCTGTGTATTGGGGCCAGGTATTGCCGTTATTATTGAGTATGCAGATTTGGATATGAAAATGTGGCTACAAATTGCACTTTCTTTCTAAAACAGCGACAAAAAAAACGAGGGTGGGTGGGTTTTTTTGCCAAATTATTTTTTGTGTGTTATTTTTCATCTTTTGCGGGGTCAATAATTAAGAACTTCAGTTATACAAACTCAGTGATTTATTAATCTAGAGTCAAAAAAGTTAAATTTTGGCACATTGTGAAGTGCAAGAATACACATTCAAAATGGCGATCAAATTGGTCATTTTTAATTATTGCAAAATTGTTTTGCAAACAATGCAACAGACTTTTAATTTTTGACAATTTTTTATAGAAATCTATTAAACAAGATCAAAACGAGACTTGAACATGATTTAAACTCAGAAGAATATATCCTTAACACAAATTCAAAATCTACATTTGAGCTACTTGCTGAAAGACATGTATTTAGAAAAAAACGCCAATAGCGATATGGTCTGATTGCTACAGTACATTTTCATGCAAAGTAACTGACCTGAACCAATCTTCTTAACCTGGTCACTGAAGTGGAAAATGTAGGTCAGAAGCAGCATCCGAAGCATTGCATGTGATTAGCATTGTTAAATACATAAGCCATACAAGTTTCGTTGATTTAGTACAAGTTACTTGGTAAGTGACCTAAACCAAACTTCTTAAACATAGTGCAGATGGGGCTTAACCTCAACTAATCTTCTTAACCTGGTCAGTCCAGCGGGAAATGTAGGGCAGAAGCAGCATCCGATGTGATAAGCATCCTTAGATAAATAAGCCATGAAAGTTGAGTTGATGTGCACGTGGTATAATTGATAACTTGGAAACTGAGCTTAACCATTTTTTCTTAACCTTAGCGCAGACAGACGGACGGACGGACAGACAGATGGGAATTGCCAATTTATCAGCCCTGATTGTGTTGCAATCCGGACAAAAACATCTACGGCTATTTCATTTTTAACCAAAAAATTGTAGTCGAGGTTTCTCTTTCAGGTTTTTAAGATTTTCAACTCATACTTCTAGCATCTTTTTCTAATGCAGCACTTACCTGTAAACTGTTGGTGAACCGCAGACACTGCACCGAGGACTTGTGGGCATTCAGGACTTTGACAGGCGTGTCACCTTGTCGAAGGTCGTAGATGTATATTTTGCCGCGTGTAGATCCAACAGCAACAGTGGCACCATCGGGCATCACATCAATAGAGGTCAGGGGGCTTTCTGCCACTATAACCTTGGGATACCTTTAAGGGGGTAATTAGTACTTTAAAGTAAAGTCAGATATCTACAGAGGCCTGGGGAATAGATGGGATAGCTGAGTATTGGAAAACTTTGTGTAGTCTACTGCAGTGTTTTTAATACCTTAATCTTACAACTGCCTGTATGAATTGGGAAAATATAGCATTAGGTAATTTTGGAAAAATTATGCAATTTTTAGCTCGGGTAAACAGCTTGTATTCGGCGGTTAAACTGAACAATAAAAAAGCACTGTACTGAGAAAAAAATATGTGCAAGAAAGTACACAATTTTTTTTCAACAATTGTCACAGCGAAGGGAAGTAACTCAGTATTGCGGAGCACTCATGTATTCTGTACTTGAACACTGTAACTCACTTCTTGCCCTCCAGGTCATAGCAGATAATGCGTTTGTCAAGGCCAACAGACATAAGGAAGATGGCGTTGATTGGAGAGAAGTTGATGCCAGTAGCAGGGGCACGGTGAGCATCGCTGAAACTGTGGATGAGGCGACGTGTGTTCGTGTCCCACAGGTTGACAGCACCATCATCCGATGCTGAGCCGAGTAATGACTTCTTAAAGTGGCTGTACTGGATCTCCTTAACCGCCTGCAGTGTAAGAAATGTCAAGTCAGCAACAAATGTTGATATGTTTAAGAGAAATTATCAAGGCTCCAATGCCAGATATCATAATTATATACACTCTATTGCTTTTTGATCAAGAGTAAGCAAAAAAAAATCAATACCAATTTATAGCAATATTGATCTAGCAATACGTAAGTAATACTAAAAAGGCAACATATTGTCACATTTTTTCAATAAAATGTTTGAGAGTTGAAGCACAGTTGTGAAAACTGTTTTACAGAAATATTGATAAGATTTAATCAATATTATTCAAGTAAAGCTTGCTTCTAAAACTGTATGAAATATTTCAGCACCGGAACTCGTTGAACTGATGCACACTTTCCATATTTTCTATATAAAATAATTATGAAAAATACAAAATTTCTAAAATGGAATAATCTCTAAATATTACAATAGACATGTAATGTGATATGAAAATTTCTTGCAATACTCACTCCTTCATTTCACATATCTTAAATTGATTTTTTTCTTTTTCAGAATGGGTCTTTTTATAATTTTAATAGAAACGGGGAAAATGCACACATGTGTACAGTATCAAAAATAACTTTTCGTGTGAATACAGATACAGATACAGAAGCTTTATTTTACGTCGAATATTATAAACATACAACATAAGCTACGAAGAGCTTGTATTTCGACAAGTGTGAAGATTTGTATTGCCTAGAAATCTTACGACATGACTAGAAATGCTGTTTACAACAGCACAAGCTATACTTTGTATAATAACAGTTGAAATTAGTAGGATTAGTATTTCAATTTTGGAGCTTTTTGCAGAAAATTGGAGCAAAAAATAATTCCCATGAGGAATATGTTGAATGAAATTTAACCTGTGCTTTAGGAGCAACCATTGGACTGCATCCCTGTCCAGATACAGCATTGTACACGATTATCTCCCCTGTGTCAGAACCTGAAGCAATGTACGTGTCGTTCCAGTTAAATTTAGCACATGTCACTTTTCCTGTGTGGCCCTGAGAAATGAAAAAAAAATCTAAATGACCAAACATAACACAAACTGTACCCAGTAATATTTTTCATTATAAAACTTGTGTTGAGAACTACATATAAAATCATAATTAACTTTTGACATCACAACAAGCAGTAGTTGTTTAACTATTTCAAAACTAATTTATATTCCATGAATTACTTTTTTATTGCATAAGAAGAAAATTCTTTTAAATTAAAAGTAAATGATCTCTAGACATTTGCAATGGTCCAGTCTTTGGGCTCCACTATCTCCTTTATTGTAAAACATTCAGTCCATCAAAATCCTTATATTTATTATCAAACCTGATTACATGATTTTGCGACTCTCCACCAATCTCAGTGACCTGACCTTGTATGTTTTGCGTAGACTTCTCACTTTAAGGTCCCAAACATTGATAGCCTGGTCGACTCCACTGACAATGTAGCGGGATGTCGAGTTGAAATCCAAAAAACCTTTCCCAGTCTGAAGAAGCATCAACAAATATGTGCATAAATATAGAATATTGGAAACATGCATGAATATTAAACATGAATGTACCAAGTGTTTTTTTTAACTTTTATATAAACATATATAAATGACGAAATTAATATACTGTTTAGTTTTATGTGATACTTATATCATTTTATCAAAAAGGAAATTTAACAGTTTATTTCCAGTTGTGTTAAATATATAATCCAGATCCTCCATCAACCCTCATAAACTGTATCTTGGCATAAAACAAACAGATGGCAAAGGAACTGCATCAATAAAAAACTTTAAATTATATATATATATATATGTAACACTATTATGGTTGCCTATTATTTGCAGCTAATCCCCCCACCTCTTAACATAGCTTTGGTAAAATAAAAATCAGTCACAATAAAATTCCCAAATCCATTTCTCTCTTCATTTTCATCTTAAACTTGCATTATAAACTCATTGTTTAATATTCCATTTGAAAGACTTTTATTAATTGTAGTTCTTTACCATGGCATTCAATCTGACCAGAAACATTTAATACACATTGACAGACGAAGCCAATATCTGTGACAATTTTTTTCCCTGTTTTGAATCTAGCATCCAATTATAAAACAAATAAGAAAATAAAATCAAAATTGGACTCATAATAGTAATAACATACCTTTATGTAAATTTATTACATTTTGGCCAGTGAAATATCGGATTCTATCAACTTGATATAAAAATGATATCTTTCACACTGTGACAAATATCAAAAGTGATATTTTCAGTGTGATAAAATATTACATTTTGATATTGACCAATCTTAACAGTATCTTCTATACGCTACATTCAAAGGCAACAATTTTTTGTTCAGATTCAAATGAAGCAACAGTAAAATAAGTGGTTGTTCAGGTAAATGTTTGGAACACACACCTAAGTATTTACATAAATATACAATTAATAACATTTTTATAAGCAATAATACCAGAAAATAGCAGAAAATGTTGGAATTGCGTTGAGTATCCCATTCAAAATGGCACAAAATGCGACGTCATTAGGATATGGCGCTAATTATTACACTCCTGATTCCAGACCTTTTTTAATGCATTACATTTTTTCGTTTTATGCTTTAAAAATGTAATAAATAAAAAATATTATGGTGTCTTCAGTTAAAACAAATACATTTCACTTGTGTGGCTAGTGTTTTGATATTTTTCACTCGTGCCGTGCATTCGTGTAAAATATCAAAATATTTGCCACACCTGTGAAATATATTTGTTATTACCGACGCCACCATTAAATATCCTTTATATAATACTCACCACAAATTTTAAATCAAGTATTGATACTGATGAATTTTTCACAGCAGTCAATGAAAGTTTGTCACTTGAATTTGAAACACTTGATAAATAGCTATCTGAGAAATGTTAAGGGACACACAAATCGAAACATGGACACACTTAATTTAACCCCATGCCTATAGCTATCGGTTAAGAATATTTATTAAAAAAAATGGACTGTTACATGTACTTGTAGTTTATAATTAGCCTGGTTTAACTTAATTGGAAATTATTTTTATGAAGTTTTAAACCCAGTATTTTACCTGTTTACTACATACTGTATAAGGCTATCTGTACCTTGTGCACGCTAACTATTAGTACCAAGATTAATACCCGGCCTCCCTTGCCCCAGCCAAAACATCTATTAGGCGACAAATATCATGAGTACTGAACACACAGGCATACCTTGAAAATATCTAAAAGCCCAACCAAGTGTCTTATTACCTCAGCACTTCTGTAGCAAATACACAATAAGAAATATTGTCCAAAAAAAGATTACTGCCTTACTGCCTTTTATGTTTTTTATTGAAAAGATAATATATTTAACTAAATTTAATATCCATAATTTGGAGGCGATTTCTTTGCTGTCTAGAAATTGAGGAGTAACCAGGAACATATAAACATGTGATGATTCTGTGCTGCATTACAAGACTTTAAATGGCGCTTATAATAGGGTATACTGTATGAGTGTATAAAACAGCATTCACAAAAAAAAGAACATTTCAAATTTAGGCTAATCTTCATCAACAATCTAAAGACAGTCCCAATTCCCAAAACACCAGTAATTGTCATATATTTACAAAGGATACTGTCGTGACTCCAGCAAACATTAGAAACGTTGTGATCATGAGGATTAAACTGTCGCACCATCGAAAAAGATGAGTCAACATCCCAAAGTTTGATGTCGTCGCCGGCCGAGGCCAGCTTCATTCCACTCATAATAGACGGTTTCAATCGACCATTAATATAAACGAATCAGTTAATTTGCCAATGCATTATGTCCATTTAAATCGCTCAGACATATCGATAGCATCGTGTTGTCAGCTGTCATAATAAAATCAGTGTCAATATCAACATGTTGTAAAAACATAAACAATCTCTGTTGCAATGTCAGAGTGCGAGTTACAGACGTAGCAAATTGAGTCATTCAACACACGTAGTCGTTTAGTAGCTTGTCATTCAACTTAAGTGCGAATGCTTCCTATTATAGTGCAACATCGTCCATAAAAAGTGTCATGTCGATCGCAAATTATCCCGCGCAACCTCCATTTTCTTGTCTGGGTGAAAACGAGGCTGATAAACATAGTATATTTTTAAAACTCTCTAAATTTAAACGAAACGAAAACATAGTCTGTTTTCTTTTGTGAATATTTTTCTATAGATTTCAGCGACCCGGTCTGTCTAATTGCTACCTCATCGGAACGAAATTTGAGGTTGAAACCAACCACGACCATAAACCGTTGGTGCCATTGTAAGTGAAAAATGAACTTTGCATTGTGAATATTTTGTTAGCTTTTCTCAAAAGAGTAACATGTGTAAATGGATAATAAAACCGAAAGGGTTCTGTTAACTCTATGCACCAGTTTTAAAAACAGAAGTGTCCATTCCCAACAGGTCATTGTTAGTAAAACAGATACGTGATCCAGTATTTCTTCGAAACAAAATGTTTTTTCTTCTTCAAGTTTACCATATCCGCGAATCCAAGATAGACTGTGTACCCGGCTACTTTGTGACATCTTGCAATTGTATTATACTGAAAAATATCACACACCAGGAATTCTAATATCGATCGATTTCGAGAAGGCATTCGATTCGGTGTCCTGGCAATTTATGTATAATCTTCTAGAGTTTTTTAAGTTTGGTCCCGAATTTATTAAATGGATAAGCGTTTTGAATAACGACGCTAAATTATGTGTACTCCAAAATGGGGGGGGTTTCAACATTTTTTAATATAGGACTTAAGGGGCTGCCGTCAAGGCGATCACATCTCGCCATATATTTTTCTCCTGTGTGTAGAAATAATGGCTATCCTAATAAGGTATAATCAAGAAATTAAAGGTATTACAAATGTTAACAAAGAATATAAACTATTTCAGTATGCTGATGATACTGGTATATTTTTGAATGGTCCGGAAAAATTTCTTAAGAAAACTCTTGATCGCCTTGACCAGTTTTCGAAGTATTCCGGCTTGACACCGAATTTTGACAAAACTAAGGCAGTCTGGATATAGGTTCAAGTAAAAACGCCACAAATAGACTATGTAACGATTGGAACCTTGAGTGGAGCAATGAACCGTTCACGGTACTGGGCATCCTATTAAGCTTAAAACTTGAAGATATTCCAAAATTTAATTTTTAAGGCAAACTTAGTGATATCAGTAATACACTAAAACATTGGTATAAAAGAAGACTGACTATCCTCGGTAAGATTACGGTAGTCAAATCTCTATTAATTCCAAAATTGACTCATTTATTTATGAGCTTACCTAAACCAGAGGACAAACTTACTGAAGAATTAGAAAATGCCTTTTTCAATTTTATCTGGAATACAAGAGATAGAATAGCAAGAAATCAGATTATACAAGATTATAAGGATGGTGGATGTAGGATGACGCACATTGTATCCTTTAATAAAGCATTAAAATTAACCTGGATACGGAGAATTCTCAATTCTGACGCTACCTGGAAAACATTATTGTTAGACGTATATAACACAAATGTCAACAAGTTGACAGCTTTGGGTGACAATTATTACATTAGACTATCACAAAGATATAAAAACCCATTTTGGATGAAAGTTTTTAGTACATTTGCTGAATATATCATAAAACTAAATACTAAACCCCCTGACCTGCTTAAGCTACCATTATGGTTCAATACTCAGATAAAGGTAGATAACTCCACAGTCTTCTATCAAAGATGCTGTGATAAAGGAATTCAATTTTTATCCGATATGGTTCATATAGAAAATAAACGTCTTTATTCAATGTCTCGGCTGATTGCAACAACTATTTATTCCAATCACCATAGAATTAATAAATAAAAGCAAAAAAGGAAGCAGAGACATGAATGATATTTTTATTTCCAAAATTAAATGCACTAATAAATATATTGACAAATGGTCTAATGTGCTAGGTGTTGACGACAATACTGATTTAATAAAATTACAAACTATAGTTTTCAATATCACAACAGATGTGACTCTGCAGTGGTTTCTTGCAACTAACGGTTTTCTTACAAAAATAACCCTCTTTGTACATTCTGCAAATAATCCGGAAAAACTTTACTACACATATTTTTTGAATGTGAACATGTCGAGAGGCTTTGGCTACTTCTTGAAAACTGGATATTCTCAAAAACCTCTGTTTACATTAACTTTGTAAAACAAGATATTATATTTTGGGAATATATTTAAAACATATTATTTGCAGAACCTTATTATGCTAATTGTTAAATACTTCATCTAAAAACAAAGTATGAAAGGTGATACACTTTTTATAGAAAGTGTATAGAGAGATATAGTGTACAATTATAAAGTGGAAAAATATATCGTAACATGTAAAGGGAAACAAAATACCTTTCTCCAAAAATGGAGACTCTTTTCTAACTTAATGATACCATAGCTTATTTATCAAGTATTGTGTATTTATCCACATATGTATCTATAACTTGTACCTAAATCGATTGCCGCCCGAGTGAGTATTAACCAATTTCGAATAATTCATTCCAATTCCAGACCCCTACGGTCACAAATACACAGGTACTACATGTGTGATGCGTATCTTGGCTGGGAAGTCGAGAATTCTCCATAAGTATCCATAGTACGAGAGCAAGAGTGTATACAAGTTGTGTTTTGTGCTGTCTTTTGTAAAATAACATGTGAAAAAAAAAATGAAAAATGTTGGAAGACAAAAAAAAAGACTGTCATAAAAATAGACATTTCAGCAACAAATGCTAATACGTTTTTCTGATCGTATATGAAAATAGGCAGTTGGTCTCGAACGAAACTCATTCAAAACCAATGTATTCAAAAACAATATTTATTTCATTCTTTGAACTTCAAACTTTTGAACACTTTTCATGGGTTTAGTTTAAAAAAAGTTTTTTATCAGTCAGAACTAGTTGTAAATCAAATTTTACAGAATCTTATCGAAATGGTATGTTATTTTTACTTATTTTGATTAACTACAATTAATTTGATCTATATTTGAGAAAAAAAATCATTATGGTATATGTTGCTTTAAAACAGGGATACGATTTGTTCTTGTAACGTATCTGTTCACACAATTTGAACAAGTAACTTTATAACAAACTTTTATATTTTAAAACAACTTCACAAAAGCTCCAGACGTACTTAAACATCAAGGCGGCTTTAACTTGTACTGCAAAAAGTTTGTACGCTTGCGTACATGTCACTATTTTTCAATCGTTACTCCCATTCAAAACTTAAACAGATACGTTACCATTCCAACACATACGTTACACATGGTACAAGTTTAACATTATCGCTTAAACAAACTTTAAATCGATGTAATGATCACTTTTGATCAAATATATGCAACTATCTCAAATATTCACATAATCAATTCGATTTTATCTGGGAAAATAATGCACCAAAACAGAAACGTTACCAAAGTGAACATATACGTTACATATTTTTCAATTGATCCCTTATCCTCACATATCCCACCCTTTTCTTTCATAGGTTTTCACTAATTAATCCTTTAAAATCCATTTATAGTAGTTAAATTTATTTGAACATCTACAATAACGTACACAAATTAACCGTTATTATATATATATATTCATTCATGCCTTTGGATTTCCAAAGATTTGAAGATATTTCCCTTGAAAACTAAGCCAGCGGATGCAAGTAGTTTTTGTAAAATGTTCCCATCAAAATCCTACGAAACAAAACTAAAATCTGGAGTATCTTTGTTAGAAGCTACAATTATAGAACTATTTACAACGTATCTGGGCGGCAAAACTGTTTACATCAGCAAAATTAAATTCACTTGGTAATCGCTTTAAATTTACACATTGTACAATAATCTTATACTTCAGTTTTATCGTGTAAGCTATACAAAAAAAAACCACGGCAATGAGTATAGTTCTATTAGACAAATACAGGTCACGTATCTGTTGAAATTTTAACGGACAAACCACGAATACCGTGTTTCATGCATGATACTTGATATATGCTTACGGAATTAATGTCGATGGATTTATATGCGATATAAGATACACTTAGTCAATAAACCAAGACATTTTAAACTTGTGTTCACCGATATAGTAAATGCTTGTATTATGGGTGTTTTGTTTAGTAATGTATATGGCAAGTCATTTTGCGACAGTAGATAATCGCAAAAAATGACATTTTAGCTTAAATCATTGATATTGAATTAACTAAGTTTTATTTAGACATAAGAAAACTTTTGCGATCAATTTTGCGCTGAATCAGACATCATCTAAATTTGACCAATCATAGGGGTCAACACAACACCAACCACACTATACGCAAACATGCTATTTATTGTTCCAATTTTCTTCACATAGTCCACATAAGTCCACCATATGTACAGTTGGACTGTATTTTGTCTTTTCTAGGCATTGTCTTCATCTTTGTATTTATTGGTTCCTATTGTTTGTTGTTGGGCATTTTCCATGCATAGCATTTTATCCTTTATCCAAAAGGTTATTTATTGTTCCATTCTCTTTGTTTACACAGTTTGACATGTATTAGCTACTGGGAAACTAGAAGTTAAACAGGATATCACTTTCTATGTGGGGGTTTCAATACTAATGACAACCATATCATGGTTGTCATTAGTATATAGGTTGTACTCTAACCTTTGGATCATCTGTAAATCCTTTGACAAATACTGAATCAAGACAAGTGCCGGCCTCTGTCGTCGGAGTATTGACCAACTGATGAAAGCCATGCTGTTTGAAAATCCGTGCTGTCGGTGGATTGTCATTGAAATGGTTATCATTGAAATATCCCACAACAAGCTTGAGGCTCGATGTTCTTGAGTTTTCCTCTATAGCTGTCAACAGTACTTGAAGAGCAGATGAGAACTGGGCAAGTAGATATACAGGAGGGCAATAAACTGTGGTGATAGATAATGGTTGCGGTGTTTGAACTATCATTGAAACATACTCAATGTTATCNGCATCTGGATCCTCCACAGCCTTTGCCAGTATTCGTGTTGTTTCATGGTAGATGCACTTGATAAGATGGGACTTTAATAAAGACATGAAAGGGTTCAG